GTGTGTGTGTGTGTGTGTGTGTGTGTGTATCACTACACCAGTCATGAATAAGTGTCTCTTGAGTATTTCAGTTTTTATTACCATTCACTCATGAGACAATCACACTTATTTTGCATACAGTACATTTAGAGTAATAGTTTCCAGTTTATAACATAATTCCTTTCCTTGATGTAGTTCTATTTTCTTCTAGCCAACTGCTACATGCATAACTCCAAGTCAGTTATGTCAATATTTGTGGGATATTAAGTTCCAAATCCAAATGGAATAAATAAATCACTTCTTAGGAAAGCCTGCAATGCTTTGAGTAATTAAATGTGTCTATTCTTGATTTTATAGTCTCTTATCCCAGCCATTGTTATATTCAACTCATCCGACTTGTTATAATTTCTTGACTTTAGTGAGAGAAAATTTTCCCTAAATGAAGATCATAGCAGGAGACTTTTCTGGGTATTGTAATATGTTTCTAGTCCAAAGGACACTGAAGATAATTTTGTAATTAAGGTTTAAGTAAAATGATTCCTGTATATTTCTCAGCCACTCAAATATAATTTTAAACATTTCTTAGACTCGTTAGCAAATATACTACAAGTTTGATGTCATTTTATAAGTTATCTCTCCTCAAGAGTGCCTCCTAAATGAAATATATTTCACGTTTATTAAAACAAAATGATACATAATAAAGGAAAAGACATTTTAAGCTTAGAAAGAGAAACACCATACTAAGATGAATTGTGATATTGATTTTGCCAGGATAAATGGTTTTTGTAATATTAATATAAAGAAACCTTTATTACACTGACTCTCCTGGTACAGGCAGAGCTTCTCCTGCAATCTGTTTAAAATCTTCATTTTTCATCCTTATGGGAAAACCTCACTTGCTAAATGGATTTCATAAAGAGTAATCTGTCAAGATTTATATAGATAAACAATTTGTGATGTTTATTGACCAGTTCATTATGGTAAACAAAACAGGAGTAAAGCATTGCTAATCTCTGCCAGCACTCTGTTACAGTTCTATTTGGGTTCTTATGTAATTCAGTATTTACTGGATATAATGGGAATGAAGTTAATTGGCCTCTGCCTCTTAAATAACAAATCTCANAAAATATATGCAGACTCTTCGGGGGCCCAGAAAAGGGGTGACTACCTAATCTGGTGGCAGAGGAAGGGGAGGAGAAAGTAGTACTAAGAAGCAATCTTGGAGGAGATGCTTGAGCCAAATTTGAAAAGATGAGTGGGAATAGCCAGGCAAATCAGGGAGGGAAGAAAATAGAAGAAAAAGTGGGAGAGGGTGTGAAATGACAAGGGATTCAGAATTTTTGGATATAAATTCAGAATACAGACGGATGACAGAGAAAGCTGGGCAGGTAAGCAGAGGGAAGACATTGCTAAATTAGGTCAGTGATAAGGAGCCATGGAAAGGAGGGGGATGGATTTAAGATATGTTTAGTAAGTAAAACTGGTAGGATGGGGTGACGAATTAAAAACAGAAGGGAGGAAGGGCATGGGGTTACTCCCAGTTTTCTAATTTGCTGATGGGGGATGATGGGGGCATTATTCATCATAAAGAACAAAGAAGGAAGAGACTGCAGATTGCTGAGGGATTTGGGGCAAGGATTATTAATGAATAAAAAAGAGGCTTCAAGGCAAATTGGAGAAATTGGGCAAAG